TATTCTTTAAAATTGGTTTTACATAACTTTGCTTTTTATCAAATTAATTTGTATTTTTTAACTATTTTTTAAATATTTATTTATTTATTTTACTTATTTACTTGGTTTTGTTTTATTTTATTTTATTTGTTTTGTTTTATTTTAACTTAATTTAAATGAAACATAACAAAATGGAACGGAACGGTTTATTTTGCTGTGAATTTCACGGCTGCTGACCAACGCAAAAAAATCGTCAAGTTGTAGCGTAGTTGTAGCTGTATCTATATTAATAATAGACCCACAAATGTAATTTTGCAATTATTGTATTTATGTTAGCTCAACATCATGTTAAATGTTTATGTAATGAACTATGTACACATAGGCTTAGAATAGAAAAATAGGTTTAAAGCTCTTCTGCAAAGTTTTTGTCAAAAGATAAGCTTCATTTGGATTACTAACAACTGTTGTCCTTCACTATATAAGATCATACTGAAATAAAAACTAAGGTATTCGTACATGCGACTAATAAAGTCACGCACGTCCAAAACTCTGGTGATTTTTTATAGCTTATATAGCTTATTTAATTTTATATTATATTATTATATTTAATTTTGTGTAAGTTAAATTAATTTAATTTTATTTTAATTTCATTTATTTTATTTTATGTTATTGAATTTGTTTTATTTTATTTTAAGTTATTTTATTATTATAATGTTATGTTATGTTAGTTTATATTATTTTATTTTAATTATTTTATCCGTTTAAGATGGTGGTTGAAAGTTTCTGGAAATTGTTGTTCCATAATTCCGGTCGTTTATGACTGATGTTTTCGCGCAAACACCCCAAAACGTTCAAACAATACTCTTTATTGACTGTCTGTCTCGTTGGATTGAATTTATGATTAGCCAAACACAGTAGTACATTACTGAGCAAAGTATTCGTTACAGCTAAATTGTTTGTAAGGAATTTTTTAATGAACTTAGCAAAGTGAAACAGCACTGAATTAATTCCAAAAACATGAACAAAATATTTATGTAGACTATGTGATTATTATTATTTTTTTGTTTTGCTCACAGAAATGCACGGGAATCATTGTTCAGCGTGTAACGCAACAAATGCATGCATAACATATGAGAACATATGAGCATATGGGTATGTGTTTCGTTGCTATGTTTGTATAAATCTGTTTAAATGAGCAGATGAATGTGAATGCATATATTATGTGAGATTACTTTCTGTTTTAATAAATATACAAAATGCATGTATTTATAAATAAATATATATATATATAAGTTATGTTGCTCATGTTTATTTTCCGACCGCTCTGGCGCATACGAAAGTACTGTTTGTGGCAGTTGCTTGAAGAGCTTTTGTTCATGCAACATAGTCTCATTGTTGCCACTGCAACGTGAAGTGCCCCATATCGCGTATGTGGATTTCGACTCGACCTAAAACTAAAAGCCCTTGAATATTTAATTTATTTAAAGGTTAAACAACACACACATACACACATATTCGTACTGACACACAAATATATATTTATAAAAAAGCTAAGCAGCGAAATAATGTTATGCGATGTGGAAAGCGAAAATATATAGTCGAAGGCCATTTCTTGTGAGATTATTAAGGGGTGGGAAAGGAGTTAAGGTGGTAAGCTTGAAGTAAATTAAAAAATTTGATATTATTTCCTATTTTTTGTTAAATTTTTTTTACGTATACAAATTACTGTTCAATATAATTTTATGCAAAATATAAGGTAAACATTTCTGATAATTTTTAAATTAAAGAAAAAATCTCAAATTCAGTCATCCTTCATACCAGTTACTTCCACCAAGTGCAATATGAAAATTTGCAACTATTATTAGAAGTTCTTTGTTGGTATATAGTTTTTGAAAAGAGTTCAACTTTCCATTCTTACTGAAAGCTTTCCATAGATTTTTGTAGCAATCTGATTTGGTTTTTTTACTTCGAATTTATATGGAATGTCTTTTCAGATTTTGTACTGGCTTTTCTATTTTCGTGGAGTACCGTTATAGGAGTATCAAACTGCGTAATACTCCTTTCCTGAATGCTCAGATCTGGTTAACACATAGAGTATTGTAAATACTTCTACTAAAATAGAATTTTTTTCTCCGAGCGATTACAATTAAAAAAATAGCTAATTGTTTACCCAAAGTCTCGATCTCAAATACTAGTATTTTAAGGATTAAATCTTTTCAGTTCGTAATTTGATTAGAAAATATGTAATAGTTCACCACTAACGGGAATTCAACATAAAATTTGTTGAAGACATAAATTCAAATCAAAAGTCTAAGCAACTTTTTATGAACTAATGATATATGAAAACATAAAATTATATTCGGGGCTATCTTTCCCTACTTATCTTTTATACTCACCTCAGCTAATTCCTTTCAATACATACCGTATATACCCACTTCATATCTACCTGTAGCGTATCCTCAGCATTGTCATCCATAAGTATTTAGTGAAATTTAAAGAAACACAGAAAATAAAAATAAACATTCTTCTTAAAATTGTAATATAAAATATAATTAATAAATTAAATACTTTTGATTAAATATATACATGTAGGATTTATCTTCTACCCGCTCGATTTAAACCACCATGGTTCCGCTTTAAGTACTTTTATTTTAAACTTAAATTTTATTCAAAAAATTCCCTATAATAATTTTTATTTCATTTTAAATACATTTTATAATTTATGTATTAACTTAAGGTATTGTATTATAGTTTTAATTCAACTTCTTTAAAAATAATACATTTTCCTTTAATTTAATTATGCTGTGTAGCGGTCGGTGGTAAAATTCAAGCTAGAACTAAACTCAACTGTCCGTGGCCTCGATTCTAAGCATTTCATCAGTGTTGTGTACTAGTAGTTATTTGTAAAGCCGATAGGTGCACCTGTTCATCCTCCAAGTCTCACTCCCACATACATATGTATATGTATTAAATAAAAGTGCATTTCTCCTCATAAAAAAAATATATGTTTCAATAAAATTTAAATTTTATACGCAATTGACAGTTTTTGCGGGATCGACATGTTAAAAATAGAAGTTTCTTACAAAGAAAAAAGCTGCCAAGATAAATAGTCGGTGCATGTTACTTGCTTTCTATTTAACAATATCGTTCCCTGGGGGGCTTTTAGTAGTTAAGCTAACGTAGCTAAATAATTTTTTTAAATTTTTATACACTCAATAGATTTAAAAAAAATTGCACAGAAATTTAGTTTACTGTCCACTCACATTCGACGTAGATATTGTCATGAGGAGGGAAATAAATTAAAAGCGAAGTCTTTATGCCATGACTGCAGTGCAAGTTTATCAAAAAATTTCAATCGTTTCTCTTTGAAATATTTCGATAGAAGAAGAACGAAAAGGTATCGTTACTGTTAAATCGTTAACAGGTAATGTTAAAAGTTAAACTTGATATCGGCTGCTAGTAGGCATTTTATAATTATTGTTAACACACTCTGAGCCTGTGCGGGTTTAACATTAGCATTTTTTTTTTTCATTTCGGCAGCATGGTACCGAACGTTAGTTTCCTTGATTTGTATTGACAATATTTATTTACGTATACTTGTGTACAACATCAACCTTCACGCACACAAATACTTATTGGCCGAATTTCGGACCAAAAACCTTCTATTTTCTAACATACCCCTAAAAGTTGGAGAAATTTTGGTGACAATATGGATTTATGCATACATCTGTAGGATAACAAATTTAGTAGTTTAAGATGATTTTTTTACAAGGTATTCAAAAAAGTCTAAAAATTAAAAAAAAAATTAATGTATGGCAGCTATATGTTATGATATCTATAATTTTCAGCACTAATGCGTGGGCAGAATAGCAAATTTCGCATACAGGGTTGCTTTTTCTGACAAATATATGTTGAGTTGAGTTGATGCGGCTTATGCCAATAGGCCCATTGTGATACCGCTGAGGTTCCTGCTTTATCAAATGATCGAACCATGCGTGCCTTATAAAAGCAACGAGATTTCCAATGTTCACTGAAGCCAACTCAGCGAGACATTCGAAAAAGCCCCATTTAACAGTGTCTTGTTATTATACCCGTCGCTATGCCAGCGGAGAACATTGAAGAGATCTGATTGCAACCTGAGTACATTGTAACCGATTGTACTGCTGCCGTAGATTTGTTCAAACATTCCGTGCCCTCCACGATTGCGAAGTGTTCCACCTGGAAAATTCTGCACTGATCCAGTATTCTCATGCTCATTCTTACCGAAAGCACGGGAAAATAAATTCCGCAACACACCCTCCCATCGAGCTTTGAGCCGTCTGTGAAGATGGCTATGGTTTGCTAGTCGGGGACGTTGGTGTTTTGCCACTCGCATCTGTTTGTGATTTTTGTGCAGAAAACATTCTCGAAGCATACCCTGTAGGTGGTGTAGTCTAGCTCCTTCGGCACTTCTGTAAGAGAAAATATTTTTGTTTGTCCTGTACAGCAATTCTTCCAAGGTTGAGTTGCTTCCAAGGTTGAGTTCATTCATAAATATATGTTCCTAAATAACTATTTAGAAAATTCGGTCGTTTATATATTTTGCATATACTGTTGCATTTGCGTACTACGTGTGGTTAAAATAATTCAAAAACATAGGATTTAATTTCTGTAAAAACGGTCGGACATGGCTACACCAAATTAACTCCTCATTCTGACCCTATCGGTATAAACTTTGTGGGTTTATCTGTTCATCTTCCCGTAGTAACATACTTCTGACCCAAAGTTAATACTCTTATACCATTTCATGTACACACAAATCCAAGTCGGCGAATTATTTCACTGAAATTCTTTTCGCCTGCTAATGACATGAGGCTGGAAATAAATTATGCATGGCTCAGTTCGTAGAAAAAAAATCTTCTTTAAGATCATAAACTTTAACTAAAATATTGACAATTTTGTATTACAATATATTTATTGAATCATTATTTTACTAGTATATGTATATTTTTTATAAATAAGTTAATAAATAGAGCATAAGTAAAGTACAAAAAAGAATAGAATGGGTTAAATAATATAAATAAACTTTGCAATGTTGCAAAAAGCTGTTATTTATGATAATCCTACATTAAGGTATATAAATAGATCAATAAATAGTTAAATGTCCATAGAATTTCCATTAGGTACTTAAGGAAATTTTTATTATTATATTTTTTCTTAAATATTTAAGTGCGTTAGAAACCAACGGCCGAAGACGACCTCAAATTACCCAAATAATCGAAATTACTCAAAGGCATAGAATTTATAATAATATTCGTATAAATTAAGCTACATTTTATAAGCCCGTCATGAGCGGCTTTACAGCCTCACCACCTCGACGCCTTGAGTGGTGAATAGCGATTCTGCAGCCAATTTCAATTTCTCATTAACCAGCTTGGCGATTTTCGGTGTTCGACGCCAAACGAATTCACGTGTGCGGTCGTGGTTGTCCTTGCTCTCCACCTCCACCTGCGATAAGAGCGGGAAAATACACATTTATTATTTTATTATGAGGAATGAAAAGTGAAAGCAAACGAGAATAGTTTTAAGAAAATAAGTTAAATAATAAATACTAAATAATATATATATTTAGTATTTAAAGTTGAAGCCTTTGGTAATTTTTTGACAGTTCTGAGGAAAGCAAAACAAAATAAAGGAAAAAGTAAAGTAAGCATAAACTTCTCTATAAATTCTGCTCACCCAACCAACCTGCTTGGGCTGCTGCACCTTGATGGACATGAGTGTGGCGCGATCGTTGACAACTCCGAATTTGATGCGGCCAATCATCTCGTTGGTACGGGCGGTGGCGCTTTTAACACTATGCACACTGCCGCGTTTGAATGACTTTTCGACGCGCAGAGTCAATGGACCCAAAGTGAATTTGGCCTTTATGGTTGAGTTGGAGCCTTCCGGATCGGCGACCACTTTCACATTGCCCACACGCTTCAGTGAAGCCAAGCCAGAGAGGCTGCCTTCGGCTTTTTGCAGTTTTTCAACTTCTTTGCCATTAGCGATGGCGGCATTGTTGCTGTTGGCATTAGCATTGCTTTTGGTGTTCTGTTTTAGTTTGGCGCTAGTAGCATGGTTGTTATTGTTGTTGCTGTTGGTATGATTTTTTTTTGTATGTGTCTTATGTGCTTTATTGTTTGAAGTTTTCTTTGTACCGGCGGCGATATCCGCGCTGGTACTGGCTTTATTCGCCTCACCATTTAGTACGGTGCGCATTTCAGGCAATATAACAGAGCCGACAACATTTCCCGTTAATTTAGCATCATCACTGGCATCCGATTTTTTCTCAGCAGCGAACGCTTTGATGCTTTGCTCCTGCTGTAATTGCAACTGTTGCAGCTGTTCTTGTAATTTGCTTTGTGTCTTAGCATCGCTCACATCCATGCGCCGACGTGGTTCCACCTTCATCTCCTCCTCGCCCTCGGTAGTCATCGAGCGCGGCTCTGACTTGGTATTTTTTCTGTTCGTAATAAAGTGAACAAATATAAAGAGTAAGCATTTGATAAGTGTCATTCGAGCTAAAATTGCTTGAATGGTAACAGTGTGCTATGCGGGAAATTCATGAAGATATTTCTATAAGAATTGCCACATTTGAAAAAAAAAAAAAACAATTTTGAAATCAATCAAACAATTTGGATTTCTTAAAGTGTTTATAAAAGTATTAAAAAAAAAATTTTAAATGTATAATGCACATAAAATGTTAAAAATATTCTTGGGAAAGGTTCAAATTTGCCAACAAATTTGCATTAAATAAAACTGTTAAGCAAAATTTTTTGAAATATATTTTAGCATAAATAACTATGACTAAATGACATGACATTAAATTCGAAAGTTTTAAAATCAGCAAGAGGTACTCATTTTTATACAAATCCTTATTCAGAAAAAAATTTATAGCTACAAAAACTTCAAAAGTATAATGACTTTTTTTTTGATGAAAGTAGCAAAATATTTAGAAAACTTAATTTAGTAATTTTTTTTTTTTTGTACAAGAATTTGTAAAGCCACCTTTCAAATGAAGAAAACTAAAAAATCTGAAGTAAGAACGCCTTTTTAGATTTGATGTCATTAAAAATCATACGCCACGGTGAATAGTTGTACTCTATTAACTCCAAAACGATAATATTTTTTCAGAAAATATTTTGTGAAGCAATCTATATCGTTTCTTACAAGTGTACTTAGCGCAGCATTTTATATGAAAAAGTCTGCCCGCAATCAATAAATGCTCCCCAATTCAAGAAGGAAAACTACTAACCGAAGTACTTACAGTTTATGCTTTGTTGTCATAGATGATTTTGCTGGCTTTGCTTTAGACGACGTTGACGAGGCCGTCACATGTCCTGTTGAACTGGCACCGCTGGATGCTTTCTTTGTAGCCGCTCTGGCATGTAAACGCACCACAAAGGGATCGTAATTGTCGGCCACAATGCGATTGATACGCGAGAATATCGAATCAATGAATTGATTGTGACGTTCTTGGAAGGCATCGTTGGTCATTTCGATAATATTATTTTTCAGGTTTCCTAAATGACGGCGTGATGTCAAGATGATTAGTAATATACGTTATAATAGCAATTTTTCATTTATAGCTATATATATATGAGTATGTGTAAGTAATTACTTGTACTATAATAACTAACAACTTTCATACCTAATGTAGTAGATTAGTGAGCGCATACATATACACACATTACTCGGCGCTGCGCTGCTGCGTACCGCTAATAGCCACTCAACAACCTAACTTTACCAAATTAAATGTTGACTTAAAGCCTTTCGAAAGCCACTAACCAAGCGTAACTAAGCCATTCAACAATCTATTAATTATGCAGTAATTAGTATTAGGTATTAAATGTATATGTATGTTTGTATGTTAGGGAGTAAGTACGAGTTTGTAAATATCAAGGTAATGATTCATATTGAATGAAGTAAGGTTTATTAATATCCTGTGGTTAAGTGTATGCAGTAGCGGAGTATTAAGCAATTCAAAAGTAATAATAACAAATATATTTTTATGAATATAAAATCCAGGTAAAATAAAATTAAAAAGCCTTGAAAAATGTTGGTTCTAAAAAATAAAATTACAAGTGCTTTAGAATACAGATTTGCCTCTTCCCAAATGTTCGTAAACTTCCCAATTATATGATCAACGGAGAATTATGTAATTTATTAATCAAAAGAAACAATAGTGTTTATAAAGATCATATAAGAAATATTAATTTTATGGGAGCCATTTTAAATTTAAAATAATATTTAATTTTAAAATGAACCGTCGTTTCGATGTTTTTCCCTTTCGGTCTAGTAAAGAAGATTAATACGGACATTAACTGTCCTTTTTTGTGTACAGAATTAGTGTAATTTATTTTAATATTACGTAAATTTTCAAAAATTTTTGTGTTCAATATTATGTCATGTGAAGAAGTATTTAGAAAAACTTTATTTTGGAGATCTTAATTTGGGTCTATAATTATTTTCAAAAATGTTTTTTTTTTTGGTCACTAATATTATTTTGTCTTTTTGGAACAAAATGTCATCTATGTTATTAACATGATCCAGATGGTTGAAACACATCCAATATTTGCTAAAAAACTTCTTTCCAAGCACCAAAAAAAATTGTGTGAAACAAATTTTGCTTAAAAGAATCAAAGAAATGGCTTCTGGAATAGTCTCGTTTTCTGGGAGACGTATCTATAAAAACCTTTCAGTTTAAGTTTAGACATAGGGATTTGAAATGAAAAAACTGTTGAGCCTCTTAATCAATTTTTCTACTATTGATGAAGTTTGTCAGCACTAAAATGTTGATCCTTCAAATTGTAATGGTGCTTCGTGCAACCATGAAGTATCTAATTTCGTCATAAATACTAACTAAAACTGGTTTGTTTGCCACGTGGCATATGATAAATTTCAATTCTAATCTAATACCTTTCATCTTACAAATTTGTATTTTTAAACGAAGTTTTTCAGCTTATTTTTTCCTCATTTTTTAACATTTCAAATAAATAATTTAACAGACATGGGCATATACACACACATAATTACGTGAAGGCAATCAAATAACTTCTGTCTAAACAGTTTAACGTTGCTATTAAAGGGATACTATTAGCCACATTTAACTATAAGTACGCGCGTTCATATGTACATACCTATAGGCAAGGTGAAACTTTATCATACACCCAACACACCTACATTTCCATACGCAAACACGCGTTATGTATTTAGTAGTATCAGGTGTTTTCGTGCTCTTTGTTGGTGCAGCAATTTGCTGGCATATACGCGTACACAGCTGGAAGCGAAAAGCAAGTACGTAAGTGAAGGAAGCAAGTCATGAGACTCCCTGCCTGTGACTGACATTTTGTAAATCACATTATTATAAGTAAATTAGCTACAAAAATAATTAGCTATGAACTATGTGCACATACATATACCTTATTTCGAGTGAGCGCATATAGGTATGTTTAAGTAGTGTGTGTTGATTTAATACTGCGCATATTTAATACTGAACGGCTATTTATAGGTTTTGTAAATATGTTATTAGCAACTAATATCTCTGGGACTTTAACGGGATATCAACAGAACTAACCGGTGCATTTCGAGTATTGGTTCGAGCAAAAACTAAAACTACATCGGCTGTTCAGACGCGTTTTTGAGTAAACAGTAGATCCCTTTATTTGTTGGAAAAATATCAACACGCTTCCATAAATTGAGATAGAGCCTCGATTGTTTCAGCGGTTAAAAAGTGCTAATTATATATTGTCTAAGCTTTTAGGAAAAAAAGGATGTTTAGGGCTAGAGAAGGCGATGTAAATTCATATTTTCGCATTTATTCATAAAGCCTTTTCGTCCTTAATGGAGTTCTGCGGTGAACTTTTTAGGAAAAAATTAAAGAGTTTCTTGGGTGGAGCTCAGCGGTGAGCTCCGGATGAAAAATTTGGATATGATGCGTTGGGAGTTTAGCGACTCTTTCGCTTTCTGATGCTGGTGAATATCCAAACATGCAAAAATGCAAGCTGTGGAATATTAAGCAAACATCCTGAGTTTAGCATCTCATAGACGCTTTAAATTTACTATTTCCTGTCCACTTCGGCATATAAGCCAGAAAGCGTAAGCACATTTGCATAGAATGTCCATTGCATTTCACAAGGATCAGAATGAATGAGGACAGGCTTACAAAGAGACTACGAGACCTTTTAGGGAGGCCAACACAGCTTCTGTGATCACTTATAGTAAACGAAAATTTTGATTAGAGAATGTCTTAGGTAATTTCCTTTTCAGTTGATATAGCTAATAGTGGTGTGCTTCTGCATAATATTGGTAAATTGATATATAATATTTCCTATACATCGGTGACCGATCACAGATTTGAAGGTAAAATACCAAGCCATTACATTAGAATTTTTACACATTAATGAACTGCAACTAGTACTAAGGAACCAAACGTATGTCAAAGAAACCTTGAGTCAACGTTGAATGTAGACGGGATATAAGCCTAGTGCAACTTTTAATCATGTAAGATTGGATCAGATACATGCAGGAAATGCTGACAAGTGAGATCTGTTAGACTTCAGAAAAATTTCACTGCTGAGGGAGCTAAAGGGAGCTGTGCTTAGCCACCTCTAAACTTCGCTAAAGTGAAAACCTCGAAATGTTTTGAGACAAATGGCAGCATATGGCACTAGCAAGTCCACCAAAGGCATAACATCCACCCGATGTAACCTAACGTAACCTAATGTAATATTTGCTGTACGATTTCAAATGGTCAGAAAAGATTAAATATATCAATTTAATGAAAATTTTTCAAAAATTTTTGCTAAATCAGCGAAACTTAAATATTTCAAATATATAATAATTAAAAACTAAAATCCAAATATTCACATAAACATATAACAGCTGAACCAACGCTCAGTTATAACAGAAAAGTCACAAAAGTTCAAAAACAAAAACTCCCTGCATGTATAATAAGCTGTAAGCGGTTAACAAAACTGCACCGAAAATTAATCTAGCATAAAAAAAATTTAACATAAATACAAAAATATTAAGATAAGCCGAGGTCTCTCGCTAAACTCAAAAATTATAATACAAAAAAAAGAAATGAAATAATTTTTGATTAATACACTTTCCATGCGAATTACGAAGACCATAAAATTATTTCGTATTTCACTCAACTTCATTTTTGAGTAGAATTTCCCGCTGAGTTGATAAATGCGCGTACATATTTAAAGAGCTTAGCACGCAGCATAGAATAAATCATTTAAGTGTTTCCATGAACGCACATGTGTATGTACATTTGTATGTGTACATCAAATTATTTTCGCTATTCACAATTAGAACATCTCTTTGGCACCATAAAACTAAATGAAAAGAGCTGAAAAAAAATTGGAAAACACCATCGAAGTATAGCGATGATGATGTGAGCTTAGATTTCTGAACTGTCTGTTGGCTGGGCAATCATGAGCGCGAAATTTTATAACATATGTTGTAATTATAAATTCACATTTTATTCAATTTTTCTTTTTTATGCAAATAGGCATGCCGTTATGAATGCACGTGTGTTTGTGTGCTAATTTAATTATGAATATGATTTTGACGCATAGCTTAAATGCAAAATTAATGTCCTCTTTGCGTGCGTAGAAACACTCAAACGCACACTACATAAATGTGTGTTTCCTCAAATCCAACTGAGGTCAACACAAAAGCGAAAGTATAACTTTAATATTAATTTAGACAAGTTTAAGCTAAGCCAAGTGCATTTATAGTGTAGATGATTGTGGCGGATAAATTTCGTTTTGCACACATATGTATATGCAAAGACATGTACACACATAAATGCGCTTGTGTATGTGTGACTGTGTACTGAGTAAACATAATTATGTTTGTAATTAGTTATGTTGACGCACGTGCTGTTGGTTAGTCACAATAGGGTGGTTAAAAAATATAAATGAATAGAAAGCAATGTACTAAGTTTTTTTTTCATAATTAATGTTACATCCGCTTATTTACAACTTTTGTATAATTTTTATTCTTTTTACGTATAAGAAATTTCGGAAATTTATTGAATGCAACTTATTTTAATGAATTTTAGTACTAAATTGAAATCAAAATACTTCAAAGAAATTTGGTACTCTATTGACTAAAACGAACTGGTTAAGTTATATCTCCCCACTCTCACAATAATAAGCGCAACACGGATAGCTGAAATGTGCTTTGTATCAGATTGATTTGAAAATTAAATATCTCTAAGAACAGATGCTAATAAAATAAAAATTCTGTAACGCTCATCCCCGCCCAACACTGGCCGTATTTTTTCTTTCTTGATTTTTTTTAATTCCTTATTTTTTAAACTAGTTTTTCGAATGGGAATATATTAAGAATATATTAATATAATAGTATATAAATCTATTACTCGTTAGAGTGAAAATATTTATGTTTGGTCGAAAAAAATACATTTAATAGGTTTTACCGTTATTATTTTCCAAAAACTATCTCCTCATTTCTAAAATACATTTTTGTTTGTATCACCCTAATATTCAATCATGTACTGTTATTGTAATATATTTATATAATTTCATTTCATGCTCTAATTG